TTTTTATGTGTGTTCACCGATACCTCGGACACGGCTAATCCTATTTAAATTATTAATTTTAATTGAATAGGCCTTTTGTAAAATATATTTACCTTTTTATTTTTATTCTAATTTTCAAGGGTGGTAGAGCCATGCAGCAGTTTTTGCTGTTGCACGTACTCGTATGGGCCGGCTCGAGCCGGGTTGGTACCACGACCTCACAGAATACCCCGCTGCGGCTGCCCCGCGTATTCTGGGGGGGGGGGGGGGGGGGCAAAATTCCGCTCAAAAACATAACTGCTCGGGGCAAACTGAGCAACAATACCAAGGCGACCCCTGCCACGCTATCCATGAATTTCTGCAACATCAGGGGACTTCACTCTAACCTAAACGCCGTCCTCTACTATCTCGAGACGGCGAAGCTGGCCTTGCTCTTTCTGACCGAGACGCAGGTTTCCTCTTCGGCTGATATTTCGTATCTCTCCTAGCCGGGGTACGAATTGGGGCATTCCTTTGTGCCTCGGGCTGGAGTTGGCGTGTATGTCAGAGAGGACATCTGTTCTCGACGCCTCGGCAGTCTTGAAGGTTCGGACCTGTCCATCCTTTGGCTACGCGTAGACAGCGACGACCATCCGCGCGTCTACGGGTCCCTCTATAGTTCCCATAGCGGTAATGCCGAAACAGACCGACTCCTCGACCACGTCCAAATGGCTACAGATTCCTTGCTGCAACAGGTCCCATCCGCAGAGATCGTGATCCTTGGCGATTTTAACGCCCACCATGCCCAATGGCTCGTTTCACGTTTAACCGATCATGCGGGGAGATCTGTTTATGACTTTGCCTTGGCATATGGTCTGACACAACTGGTTACTTCGCCTACGCGGATTCCACATGTGGAGGATCATACACCTTCCCTGTTGGACCTTCTGCTGACCTCTCATCCGGACGGATATCAGGTTTCCATCGACGCCCCTCTCGGCTCTTCGGACCATTGTCTGATCCAGAGTATGGTGCCACTCACGCTCCCTTCGCGGTTGCGTTCTGCAGGTTGCCGCCGTGTTTGGCATTACAGGTCGGCGGATTGGGACGGAATGCGGTCTTTCTTTGCATCTTACTCATGGGGGCGGGTTTTGTTTCTCGCCGGATGATCCCAGCGCTGTTGCTGACTCTGTCACTGATGTGGTGCTACAGGGAATGGAACTATTTATTCCATCATCTGTGGTACCCATCGGAGGCAGATCTCAGCCTTGGTTTGGTCGCTCCTGTAAGACTGCATTACGCAGTAAGCAGGAGTGTTATCAAGCCTGGGCTGCGGCTTCGGTGACTCGGGATATAAACACCAGCACACTTAAAAAGAAGTATAACGTCACCTCCAGGTCCTTCAAAAGAGTTATTGCCAAGGCAAAGTCAGAGCACATAGGCAGAATTGGCGAGAAACTAGTTCGCCTTCCTTCGGGAACCCATGCTTTCTGGTCTCTGGCCAAGGCTGTCCAAGGGAATTTCTGTAAGCCATCACTACCATTTCTGCACAGGGAGGATGACTCACTGGCCCAAGACGCAAAAGACAAAGCCGACCTTTTAGGCTCCCTTTTTGCGTCCAACTCGACTCTTGATGACGGGGGGAAAATACCGCCGACCATCCCGTGGTGTGAGTGCTCCATGCCAGATGTGCTGTTCTCACAGCGCTCGGTTCGCAAAGCACTGCTCTCCCTGGACATCCAGAAGTCGAGTGGGCCTGATGGAATCCCCCCGATTGTGCTGAGGACGTGAGCTCCGGAGTTGGCACCGGTCCTAACGCGTCATTTCCGGTACTCCTACTCGCAAGGCGTAGTCCCAAATTCATGGAAGACAGCTTTTGTCCACCCGATCCCTAAAAAAGGCGACCGCTTAGACCCATCCAACTATAGGCCTATCGCGATCACCTCCTTGTTCTCCAAAGTAATGGAATCCATTATTAACTGCCAGCTCATCCGGTACCTTGAGGATCACCAGCTGATTAGTGACCGCCAATACGGTTTTCGTCGGGTTCGATCAGCTGGTGATCTTCTGGTCTACCTGACCCATAGATGGGCGGAAGCAGTAGAATCCAAGGGGGAGGCGTTGGCCGTTAGTTTGGATATTGCGAAGGCCTTCGATCGGGTTTGGCACAAAGCGCTTCTTTCGAAGCTCCCTTCCTATGGGCTAACCGATAAATTGTGCAATTGTATCACCAGCTTCCTTGCAGATCGGAGCATCAAGGTCGTAGTAGACGGTGCATGCTCCGACTACAAGCCTATTAACGCTGGTGTTCCACAAGGCTGTGTGCTATCACCAACGCTGTTTCTTCTGCATATCAATAATATGTTGCTAACTGGTAACATTAATTGCTATGCGGATGACAGCACTGGTGATGCTCTATACACCGGCCGTGCCAATATTTCTCGGGAAAACGTCGCCGAGTACCGGAACAAACTTTTGTCTGAAGTCGAGTCTTTGCTGAACAAAGTCTCGGATTGGGGACGACTAAATCTAGTCCAGTTTAATCCTCAGAAGACACAAGTTTGCGCGTTTACCGCTAAAAAGAACCCCTTTGTCGTATCTCCTCAGTTTCAAGGCACTCCCCTTCTTGCCTCAGCCAGTATCGGTATCCTCGGAGTCGACATATCGAGTGACGTGCAGTTTCGTGGTCACTTGGAAGAGAAGGCCAAATTGGCCTCTAAAAAGCTTTGCGTGCTCAGCAGAGCGGGACAGTATTTCATGCCGACACACCGCCTGCAACTTTACAAGGCGCAGGTTCGGCCTCACATGGAACACTGTTCCCATCTCTGGGCAGGGGCTCCCCAGTGCCAGCTCCTTCCACTTGACCGCATCCAACGCAGAGCGGCTCGAATCGTTGACGACCGAGCTCTTTTCGATCGGCTCGATTCATTGGCACTGCGAAGAGATGTTGCATCCCTTTGCATTTTCTTTCGCATCAACCATGGGAAGTGCTCTGAGGAATTGTTCGGATTAATCCCAGCCCCCAAATTTCACGAACGCACATCGCGGCAGAACTCCCGATACCATCCACACCATCTGGATGATTGGCGGTCCACCACTGTGCGATTTAGAAGATGTTTCTTCCTCGCACGACTTCCTTGTGGAATCGATTACCATTAGCGATTTTTCCGGACCGATTTCCGACGACTTAGGGCCTTGTGTTGCGGTTGTTCCTGGGCGGCGGTAGTCACTTACCATCAGGTGAGTCGCATACTCGTTTGCCCCCTCTCCTATAAAAAAAAACCTTAAAATGGGACCACATTTAAATTTCAAAAATAAATCCCAGTTCTAGGAATGCAAAAAGAGGATAAAGTCTTTATTAAAATTATTTAGACGACGTCCTAGTTACTTTCTCGAGCTTGTGATATTGACTCTAAAATTTTAATACCAATGTGGAAATTATTTTTTTCTTATAAGTTTACGTGGTAGAGCCATGCTGCAGCTATATTACTGGTATAGTTGTAGCACGAATGGGTCGGCTCGACCGGGAAAGGACCACGCTCTCACAGAACACCAGCGTAAAATAGCAACTTAACGCTGTTGTGTTTCGTATGGTGAGTGTAGAGAACCGGATACCCTTTTTACTGGAAACGAGGCATTTCATCTTAGTCCTTACGGGTGACAACGCATCTGCATTTTGATTCGTAATCGAGGATAGATGTCGATATCTATAGGCCGCAGCAACCACTTACCATCAGGTGGACTGCGTGCCCGTTTATCACCCTTATCCTATAAAAAAAAAATTAAATCATATGGAGATATTTGACACAATTGTCACGCCTGGCAACCGCAGTTTTTTATATATTAAGTTATTTTCTAAACATGCAGTTTCAGTTTCCCTCTATCGCCGTTTACGACATTCACAGGATGATACGTAGCAGTGGATTCTCTTTCACCACACGGCGATAATACAATAGTTAAAATCGGTGAAATTAATGTCGTCTAGTATGCGCGTTAACGATCCGATACAGCCTATTAAAGTCCACTGCTGAACATTGGCTTCCCCTATACATTGCTTTTGGTAGAGCCTTGCTGCAGCTATATTAATAGTATAGTTGTAGCACGAATGGGTCGGTGCGACCGGGGTAGGATCACGCTCTCACAAAATACCAGCGCAAAATAGCAACTTAATGCTGCTGTCTTTCGTATGGCGAGTGTAGAGAACCCGAGACCCTGTTTATTGGAAAAAAGGCATTCCACCTTAGTCCTCACGGGTGACAACGCATCTGCATTTTGATTTGCAAGCGAGGATAGATGTAGATGTCTATGGGTCACAGCAACCACTTACCATCAGGTGGACTGTGTGCTCGTTTGTCTTCCTATCCTATAAAAAAATTGCCCCATAAGAGGAATATTTGCCATAGTTGCCACGCTTGGCAAGCGGGTTGGCAACCGTAGTTTTTTATTTTTAGTTAACGGAAGACGCTGCTGCCCCTTTCCTGATTTGTTTCCCTCTGTCGCCTCTTACGACACCCACGGAATGATATGGGGTTGTGGATATTAATACACCTACACTACGCGGTGTAAATGATCATCGAGAATTTAATAATAGTTTTGAATTTTGCAAGTATGTAGGTTAGTGCATTATGATTCACCCTTGAAATGTTATGCGCTTGTATTTAACACCCGCATAACCTGAAAATACATGAACTTATTAGAACTATTTTGACTAGTTTTTTTTTCTGTACCGCGAGCCACAACGTTGATTTGTATCGTGAACAATGAACTCAAATCACTGGAACCGAAAAAAAATTGAATAAAGGATTGGACTGTATTTTGCTGAACAATCTCTTGTTTCATGCCATAAGTGCTACATTTTACGCGGTGGACACATAACGTTAGATGTCATCCGCCATCTGTCGATTGTCAGAATATCGTTCTTTATGATACTTTAGCATTGTAAATAAGATTGACAATTGGAGAAGATGTCGATACCCCTTACTGCACTATATTTTAATCAATCATTTCTTTGTTTCAGACGCCAAATAAAATTTTGGAACACAATGATACGGTCCGCGGAGGTAAGTGTTTTTTTTTTAAATTAAACTAAATAAATAACTAAATAAGCGTGTGATGGCAGCGTGACGTAAAGGAATCCATCACTCTATTTGGGCTCGTGGGTGTGCTAAAAGACGACATGGGAAAGAAAGATATCTTGGCCCTAACAGACGATGCTATAACTACTATCTAGTTTACGCCAGGCGTAAATACTCAGACCAGCGAAGGGGAGGTCAATTTGCGCTACGTCTGGTACTGTAATCGCCAATCCGCCTACCAAATAAAAAATGAAAATAAACATCGTAAATATTTAACTAAAATGTAGGGACTCTTTGTATACTACTATTTACGGCATATCTCACATGGAGAATAGAATATAGAAAATAGAAATTACTCGCTCGCATATTGTTGACCGTCCGAACTTGGTGGAGGACGGCTGAAAATCCCTTCTATCACTTCATCATAGCACACGTTTATTATTTTAACATGTGTTTGCATACACTTAAAGTAGGTGTACTTCTTTTTTTTCTATTTCCTTTTTTGTTTATTAACATCAGTAATTTTTTCATTAATTGTAGAATCTATCAACGCGTCATTTATGTCTCCGTATCCGGGGATCAAGAACTACTTATATAAAATATACTGTTTACTTTTTTAATAGAATACGGGTTACAAACAAGCACACAGTCCACCTGATGGTAGGTAAGTGGTTGCTGTGGCTACATCTATCTTCGTTGCCGAATTAAAATACAGATGCGTTGTCAGCCGTGAGGACTAAGATGGAATGCCTCTTTTCCAGTAAAATAGGTCTCCTGTTCTCTACACTCACCATACGAAACACAGCAGTATTAAACTTGCTATTTTACGCGGGTATTCTGTGAGAGCGTGGTCCTTCCCCTATCGAGCCGACCCATTCATTCCACAACCATACCATGCTTGGTAAGATATAAGACATAACGTCATAAAAACATTTAATCCTGAAAATGAAAGTAATAAGTAGAATATAAAAGCGGTAGTATGTTGGTCTATTTACCGAAAAGTGAAGGCACTCTGTGCTCATTTCATACGAAGATATTAATCATATATATAGAGTTATTTTTCAAAAAGCAGCCAAATTTTTAATTTTAGATCAAATATACTTTTTTAGGAAGAGCCATGCTGCAGCTATGTTAGTAGTATAGTTAAGGCACAAATGGGTCAGCTCGACCGGGGAAGGAGCACGCTCTTACAGAATACCAGTGAAAAATAGCAGCTTAATATTGCTGTGTTTCGTATGGTGAGTGTAGAGAAAGGAGACCCTTTTTACTGGAAACGAGGCATTCCATCTTAGTCTTTAGGGGTGACAAGACATCTGCATTTTGATACTTTATCGAGGATGGCTGTTGAAGTCTATGGATCACAGCATCCACTTACCATCAGGTGGACTGTGCTCGTTTGTAACCCTATTCTTTATAAAAAAAAACATAATATAATAATAATTCAGCTAATTTGTCGACGTGATGGAATACGTAACAAAAGTGCTCGAACGGTAGCAATGGAATAAGTGTAATCCAAATAAATAACCCAACGGTTCACTAAACCGGCAATGGCCCGACTATATAGTTTTTTTTTTTACTATAGTTTTTGTTGATACCGCAGCAGTGTAATTATGTGATGTCAAAAAAAATATTACATTATCATTTAAATTCCACAAGAAGTATTTAGATAAAAAAAAACTACAAATTACATCTTACGCTGATCGCGAATAGCAGGTCCTTACATAATGATTTCTTATATTTACGCGAACACTACACATTAAATGAAATTAATTTTACAGATACTATATAAGAGTAAGTAATAAGTATGATAAATTTAACTATAAAAAATGTATTTGGATGCTATTATAGATGGCTGAAAAAGCTGATCTACACTATATAATAACCACCTAAATGTACCCCTTTTTCAAAGCAAATAAATCTTCATTTCATTTCATTTCATTTATAGCGTTAAATTTAACTTTATAATTCCCGACGTTTCGGCTGCTTTAGAACACCCATGGTCACGGGAGAGACTGAGGTGTTTGACGTCCCGATACCATAGTTAGCCCGGCTACCTTCAGTTTATGAATATTAATTTGTGGTCTGATCTACGCAGAATGAGCTTACAGTATCTTGAAGGCAATGGAATGGGTTTGGTTTTAATTAAATTGATGCAAATCAGACCAGAAACAATTAAAATGAAAATTGAAAACATTAAATTGAACATTTTATGAGCAGTATGTGAAAAATCATATAAAATATATTGTCATACATAGCACCTACTAAATTCGTTTACATGGTCTGCTACAAATGTAGTTCAGGGGGTGTGTTACAAATAGCAATGTATGAAATCGCTCGATCGCTCAGAGCTTTGCGCAAGCACTAAAGAATCGCGCTATCATTAGACATCAACGAGTACCCTGTAGTGGCGTCGCGCCGTAAGAATATCCACTACGCCATACCATCCCGTGGATGTTGTGAGAGGCGACAGAGGGAAACAAATCAGGTGGTAGGCAGCAGCGTATTCTTAATAACCACTAAAAATAAAAATCTGAGGCTGCCAACCCGCTTGCCAAGCGTGGCAACTAAGGCTAATATCCCTATGAGACAATCTATGGGAAGGCCTATGTTCAGCAGTGGACTTTAAAAGGATATGGGATACCCTTATAGTACCTTATATAGCGGTAGTCATCAATGAACGTGAACTGGTGCCGACCTGGTGGTAGAATAAATAGATTGCAAAATTCTAATAGATTCTAAATAGATTCTAAAAAAAATTGCTCTTGAAGAACTACAGACCGATTTCCCTTCTGAGCTTCGTCTACGTGCTGTTTTCGAGAGTCATAACGAATCGTCTCGCGCGCAGACTTGACGACTTCCAGCCTCCCGAACAAGCCGGTTGCCGAAAGGCCTTTAGCACCATAGACCACATACATACCCTTCGGCAAATTGTACAGAAGTCCGAGGAGTACAATTTGCCACTATATCTGGCGTATGTGGACTATGAGAAAGCCTTTGATTCCGGCAAAATTTGGGCGGTGCTGCAGTCTCTTCAGCGATGCCAAGTTGACTGTCGGTATATAGAAGTGCTGAAGTGCTTGTACAGTAGGGCTACGATACCTATACGAGCAGATCCAGAGTACGAAACCTATCCAATTGCAGAGAGATGTAAGACAGGGTGATGTTATATCCCCGAAACTCTTCACCGCTGCATTGGAAGACGTTTTCAAGCTTCTGGATTGGAAAGGATACGGTATTAACATCAATGTCGAGTACATCACTCACCTTCGATTTGCCGACGATATAGTCCTTATGGCAGGATCGCTGGAGGACCTAAGCACTATGCTCAATGACCTCAATAGTATTTCCCAACGGATAGGTGTTAAGATGAACATGGACAAAACAAAGATCATGTTTAATGTCCATGTCACACCTATGCCGGTAGTTGTTGGGAGCACTAAGCTCGAAGTATGTTTACCTGGGACAAATAGTCCGACTAGGTAAGTCCAACTTCGACCGAGAGGTCAATCGACGGATTCAACTCGGTTGGGCAGCGTTTGGGAAATTACGGCACATTTTCTCGTCAGGTATACCTCAAAACTTGAAAACAAGACTGTACAACCAGTGCATGTTGCCAGTGATGACCTATGGAACTGAGACGTGGTCCTTCACTGCTGGCCGTATGAGGAAGCTCAAGGTTGCTCAGCGAGCTACGGAGAGGGCTATGCTCGGAGTTTCTCTGCGTGATAAACTTAGAAATGAGTATATCCGCAGTAGAACCAGAGTGACCGACATAGCCCAAGGGATTAGTAAGCTGAAGTGGCAATGGGCCGGCCATATAGCTCGAAGAACCGACAATCGATGGGTAAAAAAGGTTCTCGAGTGGCGGCCTCGTACTGGCGAACGAAGTGTAGGGCGTCCCCCTACTAGATAGAGTGATGAGCTGGTAAGATATGCAGGAAGTCGATGGATGCAGGTGGCTCAGGACCGTGCTTTGTGGCATTCCCTGGGGGAAGCCTATGTTCAGCAGTGGACTTGTGAAGGGCGTTTTATGAACGCTAAGTGCGTATGATTCATCATTATAATTATAAGTATGAGGGAAGTTTCACAGTACGAGTACATAGCATCTAAATCCAACTGCTCTTTTTTATATAGCAGCACCATTTGTCATAATTATTGACCTTTATTATTCATTAAGTAATTTAGCAGGGTTATTTTGCAAAGAGTAGTCAAATTTTAAACTTAAGTTCAAATATATTTATAAATAATGATATACCGTTATTTGCGTTTTTGAAAATACGAGTAAATAAGGCTAATGCTTTTATTTGACAATGTTTTTGCCTACCGATCGACCCTTACGAATGTGTACGAGCGCAGTAAAATTAAAGAAAAAAGTTGTAATAATGCATTACCACGCATTTTGAATTTAAAAGATAAAAGGACTGAATTTTTGAGTTCTTTTTTATTAATTTTTTTTTCACCATTTGCCAATATTACTTATTTTGAATCTTCTCTGTAAATTTGGCCGGTTATTACAAAATAACCTTAGTTATAGCACTAATAAGTCGACTCGTCCGGGAAAGAACTCTCATACAGAATACCAGCGTCACACAGCAGCATTACTGTGTTTTGTGTGGTGTGTGTAGTAGTACCCTTTTTACTTACGGAAATAAGGCATCTTAGTCCTCTGGGCATGACAATGCATCTACAATTTGATTTTTAATCGAGGACAGACGTAGATGTATATGGGCCACAACATCCTCATACCATCAGGTATATGTAAGAATACTTAACTCATTAGCAAACGACTTTTTATTGGTATTTCGTTCGTTGGTATCTTATTGTTAACTTAACTATTTATCGCATCTTTTTATTACAACTCGCGACGGATGCACGTGCATCGTTGATCGATTGATGTCAGCAGCCTTTATTCCTATACTACTATACTTAACTCATTAGCAAATGAATTCTTATTGGTATTCCATTAGTCAGTATTTTATTGTTAACTAAACTATATATTTTTTGCATCTTTTTATTATAACTCATCGACACATGCACGTGTATCGTTGATCTATTACAATCAGCAACAAGTACTTAAAAATGTAACTTCTGTATCTATAATACTTTGGTTAGTTAAAATTAAATTTTAATTTTTTTGGGTAAATATATAATACTTTTTTACATACACAAATAATGTCTCGGGGCAATGGGGCACATTTATTCCTGGCAATAGAAAAAACTATTAAAATTTTATATTTTTCCAGGGGCATAACAAAACTTAGCAGTGGGGAATAAATTATTTGGGGCAATACAAAATCCGCTCGTTTGTCACCCACATAATAACAAAAAATCGTAATAAAAATCAAAGTAGTAATATATATATATATATATATATATATATAGAAAAAGCAAGTTTGAAAATAGATCACTGCAAAATGAAAACCCCTTGGTGGTGATATTTCACAAATAAATTCATTGTGAAATAAAATTATAATTTCAAAGTAGTAATCATTCCCATACTTGTTGAATAGACGTTTTCTCGTTCAAGCCACGTCCACGTCCACGTTGAACGAGACAATAATGAATAAAATAAATAAAAATCATTTTACAACTTTTGTTTTATGTCAATTTTTGTTAGTATTTAATAAATAAGGTCTAAAGCTACACAAATGTATAAACATCGGAATCGTATGTGGGTCTCGTAAGAGGTGACAGAGGGAAACAAACTAGGAGATGGCCAGCAGTGTCTTTTTTTATAGAATAGGGTGACAAACGAGCACACAGTCCACCTGATGGTAAGTGATTGCTGTGACCCTATCTATCTCAATAAAGAATCAATCCTCAATAAAGAATCAAAATGCAGATGCGTTGTCACCCGTGAGGACTAAAATGGAATGCCTCTTTTCCAGTAAAAAGGGTCACCGGTTCTCTACACTCACCATACGAAATACAGCAACACAGCGTTAAGGTGCTATTTTACGCTGGTATTCTGTGAGAACTTGGTCCTTCCCCGGTCGAGCCGACCCATTCGTGCTACAACTATGCTACTAATATATCTGCATCATGGCTCTACCACGTATACATGGCTCTATAACATATAACGTCTTCGTAATAGCATCTAGAAAACTTAAAACTGCGGTTGCCATCTCATGCTAAGCGTTGCAACTATGGCAAATAGCCTCCATAAAACGCAATCTATGGGAGAGACCCACGTTCAGCAGTGGACTTTTTATAGACTGCAATGATGATGATAACGTGTCATTCATAGTTTTTCAGAAGTAGCTAAAATAATGTAAATTGTATAACGCCATGTTTTAGAAACACTGGATCGAACTCCAACCTCTTATTTATTTTGCCTATTTTGAAGTAGAGTTATTATTTTTTAAACGATTTATTTGTGGGGTAATGCACCGCACGGACTGGTAGCGCCCTATCGGTTCGCCTTCCCCGTTCCTTAAGCCGTCAATAGCTATATCTACTTCAATATGTATCTAAAGCCAGAATTATCCGTTATTTGCGTGAACATATTCTCGATTTTTCAAATAGCTCAGCAAGTTTCATAATTAATATAGACCTTCTCATATGTTCATTAAGCATTATGCAAAAAGCGATTGCCATTGGAACAATTTAAATTAAATATTCTAGCATTATAGGCAATAGTGTCATAGCATATGCGCGTGAACATGTACTTCCCGAAGAATCCGACTTAAGATTATCATCTAACATACCAAAGCATCAGAATTTTCAGCTTTGTTTTACTAAATATATTGCTTCAGTGATTGGAGTAGGTACCTATCTAAATAGGGTACAACGCTCAAAGTAATAAAAATAGTATTATTCGCCTTAGTAATACTTCTGGATTTAAGAAAAAAGTATTTAATGTATTTTATGTCAATGATTTTGGAGAATATAAACAACGGTCAAGAGTTTATTTTTTTTAATTCTCCAAAATCATTAACATTTTTATAACAGATTTAACATGCGATATTTATTTAAATGAATCCGATATGTTTGCACTTACACCTTTCGTTAGACATGCGACGACAAGCATTAACGTCAATTCGTCAATAGCTCCCTGCTATGGCATCTTGAGTTTTTGTCATATGGATATTAGATGGAATACTTAGATTTTTTTAATAAATTATACAGGACTTAACAATATGTGTATAAATTGTTTAAGTCCAAACTTTAAAGCCCCCATGAGTACTTAGTAAGATTTAAAATGGTGTTATTATATATATATATATATACTAGCTGGCCAGGCAGACGTTGTTCTGCCCTCTCCGACGACCCTGTGTCTTATAAAAATTCTTAAATTCGTAATAAAAAATATTGAGGGTCAGTTATAAAAGCTATACTATCTCTCAAGTTGGACCAAACTGCACACAGTGTTCAAAATTTCTTTGCAATCAGTTTAGTAGATTAGGAGTTCATCGTGGAAAATGAATGTGACACGTAATTTTTATATATAAAGTTATAATTAGTAAAAATTATTTAAAGGAATTCCCTTGTATTTCAGACATGTCAGTGCCCGATACAGGAGATAGGCCCGTCAATGGCGGAAACTTGCTCGGGGCAGGCTGTGCTGCTATTCATGACGATATTGGAAGCCTTCATAAACGGCCGCTGCGACTTGGCCGACCCCTGCAATCGACTGAATAGTAAAGACGACCTACACGACTCTTACGACTTTGTCGTGGTTGGTGGCGGTACTGCAGGGGCAGTTGTCGCCGGACGGCTATCAGAAAATCCGCAATGGAAGGTATGTTGCAGTATTCAGTATTATCTGTTAAGTTTTTTTTTATAGGATAATGTGACAAGCGAGCACACAGTACATCTGATGGTAAGTGGCTGCTGTGGCCCATAGACATATACAGCTATCCTCGTTTCCAAATCAAAATGCAGATGCGTTGTCAGCCGTGAGGACTTTACAATCACCGTACGAAACAGAACAGCATTAAGCTATTATTTTACGCTGGTATTCTGTGAGAGCGTGTTCCTTCCCCGGTCGAGCCGACCCATTCGTGCTACAACTATACAATTAATATATCTACAGCTTGGCTCTATCATATTTAGAATGAATAAGTACGATGCGTTATTTTTTTTTACAAAACTGAAGTAACAAACGAACTAACAGTCCACCTGGTGATAAGCGGATGCAGTCCATGGACACCTATAGCCAAATTCAAACAAGCAAGGCTACAGATGCATTGTCACCTCTGAGGATTGAGATGGAATGCGTCACAGCTTATATTTATACTTGCTCTCTATAGCCTTCAGATCGGAACACAGACGAGCAATCACTGCAATTTGGCGGCAGAAATATGTAAGAAGGTGGTACCTGCCCAGACAGAAAATCAGTCCTACCACCTGGTGCCTTATTGTACGGGTTAAGTAGGAGATGAATCGACTACCACGTCACGTCTCCATGTTAATACAGATTTATTTATGAATGGTCGTTTACAGCACTGTATACGAGCATAAACTATTTATTAAATAATAACTTACACTACTATAAAGGCCCACATATATCATACAGAATTGTGGTGAGTTGATGTTCATAATAATATATAAGTTACGTGAGGGTGATATGGTCACCTTAAGCTTTGCCGCCCTATAAAAACAAAACTAGGAGGAGGACAGAGACAAAGACACAAAGTCGTATACTAATATATTAAGAGAAAAAATAGCAAACAAGATTTGGTAATAATTAGGAACACCTCAAAAAATTAACTTTAAAAAAATTTATTACACTACACAATACTAAAATCGACTAAAATATTTCCTATAATGTCGACTGTAAAAATGGCGTCGATAAAGCAGCGTCCTTTTGACCCTTTATTATTTGATTGACTGATGAAAAGATATCGTGTTACAGAGCTATCCATGCAAACAAAGCTGTAGTTTTTGAGTTATAAGAAAGTGACCACATTAACCAGATGACCATATTACCCTCACGTACTATACTCGTAATTATATTATGCATATTATGCTAGAGAACTATTGTACTCGTACAATTAAAGTGCATAAAATATTTTCATAAATCTTATTCATAAAATTAAAAATTAAATTAAGAAACCGTAAAAATTTACAGTAAAATTAAATTTAAATCGCATAACTACGGTTTTCTAAATCCTTGTGCTCACTGCCAGGGCTTAATTTACCCGCAGGCTATCTAGGCTAGAGCCTAGGGCGCAAGGTTCGAGGGGGCGCTGAGCTTGTCTTTGCAAGCACACTAATGTACAGAATAAAATTTGGTACAATATGCTCAATTAATAATACAGTAAGCCGCAAGTATTTTACTTGTAGCTCTTTATTTACTTTTGGTACAAAACAAATAAATATATTGTAAAAATAAGACTGAATTGAAAAAAGGCATTCCATCTTAGTCCCCAGTCCCCACGGATGACAACGCATCTACATTTTGATTCTTTATTGAGGATAGATGAAGATGTCTATGGGTCACAGCAACCACGCACCATCAGGTGGACCGTGTGCTCGTTTGTCACCCTATACTATAAAAAGACCTCTTTGTCGTATCTCCTCAACTTTAGGGCACTCCCCATGCTCCTCAGCCAACATCGCTATCCTCGGCATCGATATATCGAATGACGCACAGTTCCGCGGCACTTGGAAGGGAAGGCTAAATTGGCCTCTAAAAATCTTGGCGTGCTCAGTAGAGTGAGACAGTATTTCATGCTGGCACACCGTTTGCAACTTTACAAGGCTCAAGTTCGCCTTCAAATGGAGTATATTGTTCTCATCTTTAAATCGGGGCACCCTAGTGCCAGCTCATTTCACTTGATCCCATCCAGCGAAGTGTGGCTCGAATCGTCAACGATTGAGCCACACTTCGCGAATTCTTTCTGATCGGCTCGATTCGCTGGCGCTGCGAAGAGATGTTACATCCCATTGCTTTTTCTATCGCATTTTCCACTGGAAGTACTTAAAGGAATTTTTCGGATTAATTTCAGCCGCCAAATTCAACCAACACACTCACAGTACCATCTACACCGTCTGGATGCTTGGCGGTACACCATGTGTATACATGGGGTACATTGTGTGATTTACTAGGATTTTTCTTCCTCGCAAGACTTCTTTATGGAATCATTTACCACCGGCGATTTACTGACAGATATGACTTAGATACCTTCAAGCTTACTACTTTTAAAAAGGCCAGCAATGCACCTGCAATTTCCTTGGTGTTGCAGTTTTTCATGGGCGATAGTCGACACTTACTATCATAAAAAAATGATTTAACGTGGGCGAAACCGCGAAATGGAAAGCTAGTAAAATATAAAATCTAGTAAATATATATGCGTGGGCTGGGTAGGCATAGACAAAACAGCCCAGAGGGGTGCATATTCATAGTTTGCCTGGGGCTGTCGGAACTCTAAATCAGGCACTGCCCACACAAAACTAGGTTCAGTTTTGTAGCGTTTATTTAGGCGGTTTTAGGCTCCATATAGTATTAAATTGTGTTTAATGTCTAATTTCAACGCTCGAGTTGCAAATTAATTCAATATATATAAATTTAAAATTATGTTAACAGCTTCACAAGTTTTGAAATCACTAGTATTGCTACAGCATAAAAGCAAAATACGGTGTCTTAACAATGAATATAAAGTGCCACCCATAGATCTATAACACTGTTTACTTGATACATATTATTTGACTGAAAATTCAATATTTTTGTTTTACGTACGTAAAAAATTTCCACCTGACAGCTTGTTTTTTTTTAGTAAATCAAGTGCGATTATTGTTGGATCACCTATGGTTTAAAGTATAATATCTACGCGGACGTAGTCGCGGGCAAAAACTAGTGCTTTATATGATTATAATGTATTCTCATAATTCATATAATTTTTGAAATGACTTTAATAATATTTTGTACAGCTACTTTTTGTGTAACATAAAACAAAAATCACAGTCGTGTTCCTTCGTGATTAATTGGTCGTTTGTTCCTTCGTGGATGATTTCGTAGCAAAATCTTCATAAGTTTTATACAAATTACTTATTAGGAACCTGGACATGGCTCACTTAAGAGGTAGAACTACCAAAACGTCTCTGATGACCTCAGAACAAATTATCTGATGTCTTATTTTTAATTCTTTTTTTAGAAGTTTTTATATCAGTTTAAATGTATGTGTATAATTACAAAACTAACCTCTAGTTTTGTCGCAGTAGTTGCCCATGGTAGGAGATGCTGCGTCCCAGTCCTCCATCCACTGTCTCTACTCATTTCACCGATACACTCTTTCAAATACTTCCTTTCGCTTTCGACACCTCTCCCACGGAGGTTACTCTTTCAATTATTTAGCAAAATATCAATCCGTTCTTTAAAGGGTTTCCAGCTTTCTTGTTATATCTAGACAGTATGTTACTGCAGTTTGACGATGGTTATAACATATTTTAGTCATAGTAATCGTTGCTTATTTATTATATTTATTAATTATATTTTGTGTAATAATAATTTGCATGACTAATTATTTTATTTTCCTCTACGAAGAGAATTATAAATGGTATTTTGATGAAGGTGAACCGTAACCTTATAATGCATTAAGACTTGATCAACCGCATACTAGAGTTCCGCTAATTGTTTTGCTATTGTACTTTTTCTTGCTAGATTTTTTGTTACAGTAATCATCGTAAATCAAAGCTTTTTTGTATATTAAATCAGATTTTAATTTTACGATTGTTTTGGTGTGCATACCTTAGTCACAACCATAAATAAATCAATTTTGGCAAAAACAGCTTTAAGAAAAGCAAAATAATCCTTTGCCCGTAAAAGAACGCCTAAGAGATGGGTAGATTTTCTTACGCATAGGTTATGCGGTTGCTACTTTAAGGAGTGCCTCTACGTTAGTACTACTACTTGTGACACTAAATATCTTTTTTTTTTATAGGATAGGGTGACAAACGAGCACACAGTCCACCTGATGGTAAGTGGTTGCTGTGGCCCATAGACATCTACATCTATCCTCGTTTGCGAATCAAAATGCACATGCGTTGTCACCCGTGAGGACTAAGATGGAATGCCTCGTTTCTAGTAAAAAGGGTCTCTGGTTCTTTACACTCACCATATGAAACACAGCAGTGTTAAGCTGCTATTTGACACTGGTATTCTGTGAGAGCGTGGTCCTTCCCCGGTCGAGCCGACCCATTCGTGCTAGTTATATACATCTACCTTCCTTTGCTAAACAGGTCCTACTCCTAGAAGCTGGTGGCGATGAACCAACGCCGTCAGCAGTGCCGGCGTGGGTGACAGCATACTGGGAGCGCAACGACACCGATTGGCTTTACTTTACTGAGCCTCAAGAAAAAGCGTGTCTTGCTTACGGAGGAAAATGCTACTGGCCTAGAGCAAAACTTCTTGGTTCGTAGAAACTATGTTTTTAGAGTTGTTAGTTTTTATTAATTACTAGCGACGGCTTCGTTCGAGTAAAATTTTGTTCATTATACAGGGTTTCTTTGCAATAACCGGCCAAATTTGCAGAGGTTCAGATTAAGTAATATAAACAAAAGGTTAAGAAAAATTAATTAAGAAAAATCTCAAATATTCTGTCCTTTTTATCTTTTAAATGCAAAATGCGTGGTAATGCATTTATTTTAACTGATTTTACTATGCACGCAGCTTCGTAAGGGTCGATCGGTAGGTAAAAACGTTGTGGCCCATAAATTACATTCAATTTGAGATAATTTCAATTAAAGTTTACGTAATAAAGTAACGGTATATCATTATTTGTATACCTTAAGTTTAAAATTTGGCTACTCTTTGAAAAACTCTGCTTACTAAAATTGAGAGAGAGTTGGCGGGAAACATTTTGCCAACTTGATTCAGAAATAATACATTTAATGTTCAGCTCCTACAAGAGATAGAACATTAAGTTAGAGTTATTTGATATTATCACTTTTACTGTCCGTGGTTCAGCGCATGCATTAAGTTCATATTCTTTAACAATCAGGGTTGTTAGAACAACGAAATGTCCTACATATTCCATGCAGAGTGTGTGCTAATGAGCTATAACTATAACTACTCCATCCCTATTTCTAAAACATTTCGCTTAACGTTTTAAGCACTCGCGATGAAGGATTGAAATTTACTTGCGTTAGTTTTTCTGGCCACTACAATTTGGAACTATTCCAAGACAAGAGTATGGCATTTTCTGGGCTATTCTGTTCACTGAGCTAATTAACACATAACATCAGGTGGGATTTTAGTCAAACTTTGGTTTTACTAGACCCATATAGCCTAATAAAATCCACTGCTGAACATAGACCTCCCCAATAGATTGCCTCATATGGGGGATATTTGCCATAGTTGTCACGCTTGGCAGTTTTTTATTTTTAATCGTTATTAGGAAGACGCTGCTGCCCATTTTCTGGTTTGTTTCCCTCTGTCGCCCCTTACGACTCCCACGGGATGATATGGGGTAGTGGATATTCTTACACCGCCACTACACGGTAGTACCGATGTAGGCCATTAATGATCAAGAAAATATATTGTGTCGCTATAAAATTTCCTAGGCAATTGATAACTTCCGATTCTTCTGCAGTTGTCACCATAGTCACAAATCGAGCACAGATACATATAATATGTTGACACAGTGACATAATCTTAGGTTTATGTTTAGGTTTAAAGAGTTTATTATACAGTGGTAGAGCCATGCGGCAGCTTTTGCTGTCGCACGGATGGGCCGGCTCAAACCGGGGTGGTACCACGACCTTACAGAAAACCAGCGTGAAGTAGAGGTTTGCCTCTGCGTTTCGCTTGGTGAGTGCAGGTGGCCGGAGGCCCTTTTTACTGGAAATGAGGCATTGCATCTTAGTGCTCACGGGTGACAACGCATCTACATTTTGATTTGTAATAGAGGATTGAAGTAGATGTCTATGGGCCGCAGCAACCACTTACCATCAGGTGGACTGTGTGCTCGTATGTTACCCTTATCCTATAAAAAAAATATCAAAAAAGAACAAAATTCACTTATATTATTTGTCTTTTACATGGTAGAGACGTGCTGCAGCTATATTAATAGTATAGTTGTAGCACGAATGGGTCGATTCGACCGGGGAAGGATCACGCTCTCACAGAATACCAGCGTAAAATAGGAGCTTAATGCTGCTGTGTTTCGTATGGTGAGTGTAGAGAAACGGAGACCTTTTTTACTTGAAAAGAGGCATTCTATCTTAGTCTCACGTGCTCACGTCCTAGTCCTCACGGCTGACAACGCACTTGTATTTAGAGAAGAGAATCGGAGACCCTTTTTACTAGAAAAGAAACATTCGATCTTAATCCTCACGGGTGACAACGCATCTGCATTTGGATTCGCAAACGAGGATAGATTTAAATGTCTATGGGCCACAGCAACCACTTACCATCAAGTGGACTGTGTGCTCGTTTGTCACCCTTATCCTATAAAAAAATGAGACTTAAAAATAACATAATTGGTAAAAATAATACATTTACATACGGTGACTTATATGAATAAAGTTAAATAAATGTATCCAAATCAAGAATAAGAATCTTAAGATATTTTGTCATTTCTCTAAGGTGGCTGTTCAACAATCAACGGCATGATGTACATGCGAGGACATGCAGCAGACTACGACGGTTGGGCAGTCAACGGCGCGACCGGCTGGTCCTGGCACGAAGTGTTCCCGTACTTTTTGAAAAGTGAGAATAACAAGGAGATCGGTGCCGTAGTGTCACATGAATATCACAACGTAGGGGGGCCGATGCCTGTTCAGAGAGTAAGTATGTTTGTGAATATCCTAAATGTTTAGTTTTTTTTATAGGATAGGGTGACAAACGAGCACACAGTCCACCTGATGGTAAGTGGTAGCTGTGGCCCATAGACATTTAAATCTATCCTCGTTTGCGAATCCAAATGCAGATACGTTGTCACCCGTGAGGATTAAGATCGAATGCTTCTTTTCTAGTAAAAAGGGTCTCCGATTCTCTACACTCCCCACACGAAACACAGCAGAGTTAAGCTGCTATTTTACTCTGATATTCTGTGAGAGCGTGGTCCTTACCAGGTCGAGCCGACCCATTCGTGCTACAACTATACTACTAATATAACTGCAGCATGGCTCTACCACGTAAAAAATGTATTGTGTAAATTCGCCAAAATATAACGATAAATGTTGTGTAAATCTGAAAAAATCTGTCATCTGCGAGCTATTTTGGCGTGAACACCCATCACGCAAAAACATGTGAACCGATTTGGATGGGGCTTTCAATGGCGATAGCTGATGTTATAAGGAGTAACATAGACTACTTTTATTTTAGGCTTCCGCGCTAAAAAATTCCACGCGGGCGAAGTCGCGGGGCACAACTAGTAATAACCTATTTCTGTCACTATTGCGCAGTGCACCAACTGCCATGTTCTGGTTTCAAGGTAAAAAGGTTCATAGTACAACCAAATACATGACATGACACAAACTGGCTGTGTGATATTTTATATTGGTCGGCAGAGGTAACAAGGCTTCTGCAGCCTTTTTTATTCGAAGTAGGCTGCAAGTGCCGGCTACAGCAGCCACTTACCATAAGGTAGACTGCTAGTACATTTGTCATTCTTATATTATAGGAAACCCGAAAAGTCTAGAATAAGGCATGTAACAACAATGTCAAAAACGAGCTAATATAAAAGAAAAATAAAAATGTTTCGTATTGAGTGTAGAGAACCGGAGACCCTTTTTACTGGAAATGAGGCATTCCATCTTAGTGACATCTGAGTGACAACGCATCTGCATTTTTATTCGTAATCGAGGATAGATGAAGATGAATATGGGCCACAACAACCAATTATTATATTATATTCTATGATATTATTTCCTCGACCAAGAACCAAAATGGAGATGTGTTGTCACGTCTGAAGACTAAGCTCTCTACACTCACCATAAAAAACGCAGCAGCATTAAGCTACTATTTTACACTGGTATTCTGTGAGAGCGTTGTCCTTCCCCGATCGAGCTGACCCATTCGTGATACATTATTTAAACCTGTGTTTAATATATATAATGTAGCTGTTAGCTGTTCCACTTTGAATAAATAAATAAATAAATAAATTATTATTATAGCTGCAGTGTGGCCTACCACGTATATAAAAATAATAATATGCCAATTTTTTCCCAAATTTCAATCTCACCTGCACACAGTGACGACTCGGCTGTGGCAACTGTCATCTAAAACAACATCTATTCACTTGTACAACAGCATTAGCAGAGAATGTCAGCACATCGCTCACATCTCACAAATTTGACTGCCTAGCGTGTGGAGTATGGGGAAATCATTCACAGATCACATATTGGATAACAGCTGTAAATTTTTGAAAAAAATTTATATGGTCATCAGTGGACTTGAAAAGGCTAAGCAAGTGCAGAATTTTTTTGTGATGATATACTGCCATATGTCGGAGAACATGAGCAGTTTACGACATTTGTCATTGTCGATTGATACCAACGAACGAAATCGGATGGGCGAAATCCTTTCCTTTTGAGGAGGTTGATATTTTTTTTTACAGAAAGGTTACATTATTATAAGCACACAGGCAAAAAGTACGCATTTCCGCATGTTGAAACTTTGCGTGTGTGCTTATAATAATGTAATCTTTCTGTAAACCCCCCCACCCCCCACCCCAACTCGACGGACGTCAATGGAAAGTCGTACCAAAACAATTAATCAGAATTCACAAGGCACGTGTTGGCACGGTAAATAGCTATTCCAAAGTGGTTTTTGAAATCTAGGATTTATTTATATAAATAAAGGCAAGATAAATGCTAGATTTCGAATCGAAAAAGAAATCGAAATTCGAAGAAATCGAATTTACAGTGTTGTGCAATTATAAGTACAACTTACTATTTAGAGAATTTTTGTTACATATTATACTATAAAATATCTAACTAAATCTAGTCATTACCTACTTACTTCTAGTTCCGCCATGCACCTGAGTTTGCTCACGACCTGGTCTCAGCATCGCTCGAACTTGGTTGTCCACCCACTAATGACTTGAACGGCGATAGTTCTACGGGATTTACTGTAGCCCAAACATTTAACGAGTAAGTATTTCTTCTTTTTGATGTAATTACATAGTACCTAGATTATATATATACAGTTTAGTCTACGATGACAGCTTTAATTGTAGTTCATAGATTATTAATTACAGTCTTTGTTGTTGACTTCAAGATGGAGGTTTTCTATCCAGATGTAATTCTTTATGTATGTACATTGTACAATATACAGGGTTATTTTTCAAAGACCAGCTAAATTTAATAATTAAGTTCAAAATATAAATAGTGACATACACTTTTGCAGTTTTGTAAAATATGCGTAAATAAAGTTTCTACATTTTTTTTGAAAATATCCGAAATTGAATGTGATTTATGGGCAACAAAGACGCGCGCTCGTGTGTGTACGAGTCAATGCCTACTATTTACTTCCTTCCTTTCCTTGGTAATGAAATGGGTGATATCCAGAAAAAATCAATAGTTTTCACACGTAGTACTGGCTTTGACAAGTAATACTACCTATAAAAATTTAAAAATAGGACACTCGTTAAGTAATGAGGTCATGGTCAAGTCAACACTGACTGTCGGCCGGCCAGGTGAACATACCCAGCGGTGTAATGGAAGGGAGAGGGCGGGGGAGACGCGTTTGATAATTACCGAGTCAAAACAACTATTAGATACCTAATCTGTAACAGAGCGCGAGCGCCGAAATACACCAACTGCTTCCGAACTCAACACTCCCTTACGAATGTGTGCGTGCGTATTTATGAATGACAAGCAATTAAAATAATGCATTTCCACACATTTTGAATATAAAGGATAAAAAGTATAAAATGTTTCAGTTTTTTCTTGTTAGTTTTTTTCACCATTTGCTTATGTTATCTATTCTGAACCTCCCTGGCCAGTTATTGCAAAATAACCCTGTTCGAGAAAAAAGTTTCTTCGTATTTTATATACAAACTCAAGACATTTTTTTTTTCAAATTTTAATTACATTTAATTATAATATAAATGTGCCATTTTGTTCGATAACTTGTTGCCATCTTGTAGGTAGTGACATAATCCCGTTGCTGTAGAAATCTTAGGATATTTGACCAAAAAAATTCGACAAGTAGTTTTGACAGTCCTCTCTTGATGTTAGCCTAACACTACCCAAAGAGTTCTGAAGAGACCGAAACAGGTGAAAATCTGAGGGTGCAAGGTCGGGACTATATGGTGGATGTATTAACACTTCCCAACCAAGCTCTCTCAATTTTTGCTGAGTGGCTAAACATGTGTGTGGTCTGGCGTTATCATGATGAAAGGTCACTCCTTTTCTGTTGATCAATTCCGGCCGTTTTTTCTCAATTTCTTCCTTCACTGCTGGCCGTATGAGGAATCTCAAGGTCGCTCAGCGAGCTATGGAGAGGGCTATGCTCGGAGTTTCTCTGCGTGATAAACTTAGAAATGAGGATTACGAGGATACGCAGTAGAACTAGAGTGACCGACATAGCCCAACGGATTAGTAAGCTGAAGTGGCAGTGGGCCGGCCATATAGCTCGAAGAACCGATAACCAATGGGGAAAAAAGGTTCTCGAGTGGCGGCCTCGTACCGGCGGTCGAAGTGTAGGGCATCCCCCCACTAGATGGAGTGACGACCTGGAAAGATATGCAGGAAGTCGATGTATGCAGGTGGCTCAGGACCGTGCTTTGTGGCATTCCTTGGGGGAGGCCTATGTTCAGCAGTGGACTTGTGAAGGGCTGTAATGATGAATGATGATTTCTCAATTCCTTGCTTGAGTCTCCTTAGTTGTTGGCAGTAGAGATCCGAATCGATGGTTTTACCCGGCGGTAAAAGCTCATAACAAACGATGCCGTTCCAATCTCACCATACACACAGCGTCACCTTATTGCGTGTTAATCCGGGTTTCGATAGTCTGTGGAGCTTGACTGCCCCTAGATCATGATCTTTTTCGCACGTTCTTGTCGTAGGTGATCCACTTTTCATCACCAGTGATCAATCTTTTTAAAAATGTTTCGGTTTCATTACGTTTTAAGAGAGAATCGCAAATGAGTGCACGATTCGTTAGGTTTCTTTCAGTGAGTTCGTGTGGTACCCAAATATCGAGCTTTTTTGTATAGCCAGACTTTTTCAAATGTGTCGAAACTGTTTTGTGGTCAATCCTCAATTCCTCGGCTATGTCGCAGCTTTTAATATTCTGATCTTGCTCCACTTTTTCAAAATTGGCATCAGCTTTATCCGTATGAGGGCGACCAGAGAGCTGCATCTTTGATATCAAAATTCCCGGACTGAAAATGCTTGAACCAACTTTGTGCTACTCTTGATACTGCATTAGGTCCATAAACGTCGTGACGTTTTTCGCGGGTTGAGTATCATTTTTTCCTTTATTGTACCTAACAAAACTTCAGAATGTATGTATCGCATTTCTTCGCTTTTCACTGTCGTTAGATTCGCTCATTTTGGCAGACAGAAAAACAATTGAAGAATGGCGGTAAAGTTTTATTTTTAATTTTTCTTTTTCTTAATGTTCTATATGTTTTGATATCAAACCCAAAGAGTTAGACGCCCATTACACGGTAGGTTTTGCTGTCAGTTTTACAACAATCACGGTTGTGATTGACGAATAACCTATCGTGTAATGCGGTGATTCACGTTTGCATGAAATTGATTGACAAATATCTGGATATTTTGATTTTTACGTCAATCAACTATCAGTCACGAATTTTGATTGAACGTGTAATGGCATTTCGTCAATCACGCGTCAGTCGACGCTTAGACAGCAATGGAGGCGGACGCAGTATATATTAAAGAGGCTGCTTATAAGCGCTCGTGCAGCCCGTCGCCACTCCCACCAAATGTGTTTCAGCCAGAAAAATATTTTATTTTAAATTTTCAGTCTCTCCCCGAGTTGTGGGACACGAAAAACCCCGGGTAGGTAGGATGCCCCTAATACCAGCCACGCCCCTAATTCCAGCCTTTCCGCCTTTTTACTTCGTAAATAAGATTTCTAGTAGTCTTAACTACAAATATGGTCGGCTAAAAATTCTTCGTAATTAGAGGAAAGTATATTTCAAATATTACCTCACAGTTTTAAACCTAACAGTGTTAAATTAAAAATCAAAACATAAACATATTTTACATTAGCTCATCTTTAGGCTTTTTGATTTGTATGAATGTGACTATAGACATAGTAATGCAGCTATCTTTGTTTAAATTTATAAGTTTTTTATTTTCTTTTAGTGGAAATTAATGGGGCTGTAATTAGATATACGAAATTTATGGAGTGCATAATGTCAGTCGCCCGACTGTTATTTGGTTTGACGTAAACAATAAGAAGTACCTTATTTCAACCATGTAATATAAATCAGGGCTGTCATAAACTAGAATAAATACCATTAATTTGAACTCACACAGAAAACCAACGTAGAATAGCAGTTTAACGCTGCTGTGTTTCGTATGGTGAGTGTAGAGAACCGGAGACCCTTTTTACTGGCAAAGAGGCATTCCATCTTAGTCCTCACGGGTGACAACGCATCTGCATCTTGAGTCTATATTGAGGATAGATGTAGATGTCTATGGGTCATAGTAGCCACTTACCATCAGGTGGACTGTGTGCTCGTTTGTCACCCTATCCTATATAAAAAAAAAACATAACTTATTTTATAGTTAAGTAAGTTATGGTCAATTCGTCTATATTTTGAAATTGGTGTTTGATTTAAAAGTTTAACAAATGATACGTACTTTTTCAGACATTTGGTATATGTTAAGAACACCATACAATATTTAATTATGTTTTGGGAAAGACAAAAATAAACAATAAATGTAATTAACTACAACTTAAGTTAGTTAGTAATACTAATTTTATTATAACTTAAGAACATAAATGAAAAAGTCATAAAAAGGAAAGTGGTTCAGGACCATGCTTTGCGGCAGTCTATGGAGGATGATGTTCTGTAGTCGACTTGTGAAGGGTTGAAATGATGATAAAGATTCGAAAACTTGGATGATTAAATCATAAGAAATCGGTGTACTATAATACATAATTTTTATTATAATATTATTTTAATTAATTGTTTAGTGTTAAAAGATAAAATGTAACTGCTTAAAGCTAAACCACAGTAAGGTAAGAAGTAAAACATTAAAATAAAATAATTGTTGTCGTCTATCTTAATACATATTCCATACTTGTGACATGCATGATTTAAAATTAAAAGTTGTTATGAATTTATTTCAGTGCCCCTAAAATTTACCTACAATAGGTACCTACCAAAAACTCAAAAGGCATAGCCCTATGCTATGCTGGCATTAGATACACAAAAGGAAATTGAAATTGGCACTAAAAGGCTGGTAATAGGGGCATCCACCCTATACGAATAAATGTACAAGTTAAGCTTATTTTTCGTCCATAAATGCGTTTCAAATAAAACCGCGTATCGATTATGCACTCCAAGAGGTCTAACATTTGCGCGCGTTAAATTAAAATGGGTAAAATGATATTAAATATTACAATTTTTCCTATTCGTTTTTTTTCCTTTTCTTTTCAAGATATAAAATTATAATTAAATGGTGAATCGAAAATGAACTTAGTTTATAGGTACGTCCTTTCACTCCGAAAATTTGGGTTTGACTGACGATCAGTCAGCATGAGCGTGTAATGTCCAAATTATTCCATCATTCAAACCTCAGTCATGATTAATCGAACTGATTGACGCTTGCCTAGGCGTGTAATGGGCGTCTTTAATTTTATACAAACAAAATACGAAGAAACTTTTTCGGCGACCTATTATGTTACACGATGTCTTTGCTAATCCGATTTTAATGATTCTTTTTTATCAGAGTGGTCTCAAAGGTAGGTCACCTTCTGATTAAAATATGAAGAAACAATTTAAGCGCTAATGTAACTATTTGGTCAACATTCTAATATACACGTTGAAGGTAGGTATTGCTTAGTTCACTTAAAGAGGTTAAATAATTAAACTTTTGAAAAAGTAGTTAAAAACCAATAAAACAATAGCCACATTGTTTAGTTTTTTTTTAATAGAATAGGGTGACAAACGAGCACACAGTATACCTGATCGTAAGTGGATGCTGTGGCCCACAGACATCTACATTTATTCTCAATAAGAATCAAAATGGAGATGCGTTGTGACTCCTGAGGACCAAAATGGAATGCCTCATTTCCAGTACAAAGGGTCTCCGGTTCTCAATACTCACCATACGAAACATAACAGCATTAAGCTACCACTATCTTACGCTGGTATTCAGTTAGAGCTGCAACCATAAAATAACTGCAGCGTGGCTCTACCACATCGAAAATGGTTTCTGAAGTCAGTGCTATAGTGTATCAAAGATTGGAAGGCGCGACATAACTTATTAGTATATTAAATTATGTGAAATTATTTTAGATATTCTTTTTAATTTTTTGAAGAAGATTTTTATTTTTAATTACAAACTCTAACGGCCTGTAAAGCAAATATAACAAAGTATACAGCATAGCATATTTTAAAGTATCCAAACGTATTTATTTACAAATATTAAAAACAAAAAGATATGAGACCATATTGTTTGATACAGCGGCGGTTCAAGATACAGTACAGCACGTGGTTTCCTTCGGCCTGGAGCGAAACGTGAAAATCTTCATGTTGTTTTTAACGCACTGGCATCTAAGGTGGTGGTTGATCCAAATACCAAGAAAGTTACTGGCGTCGAATATATCAAGGATGGTGCTACCAAAGTGGTTGGCGTTAACAAAGAGGTGAGGCTAATAAATTCAATTGTTTTTCTTTTAAGATACAATATTTGCTACGTTATTTTTATATTATCATAATAATTACCTACTTACGTTCGAAATTGATGGTAAAATGATAGTAATAAGCTACCACCAAGAAACATAAATTAAAAGATATTGATAAACCTTATTGCATCATTTTTTGGGGTTTCAATTCAATTGTTTACATGACTGTACTGTACGATATTTATAACACTAAAAAAAGTAAATACTACAATTACCAAACATTCCTACTTGCAAGTGCGAGTTACTTTAAAGTGCCAAGAACAAGAACGGCGACTGTGTTTCATCGCTGAACACTGAACACTTAGCTTCTGGGTGAGAAAAGAACCGGGTTTCTTGTCTTTAGTGGTAACGATTAGTCACGAATACAGTACCTTTAGAAAATTAACTGTTCTTCGACCTCAAAATCTGGTAGTATCTACATAAAATCGCATAAATATTATATTCAAACTCATATTTGCGTCACTTTTTCGCCGCCTCTGTCCATAGCTTGGATTATTATTTGCTAATTTGTTGGGACGGTGTCGAAAACTACAAATAAGTTAAAATTAAATACGATAAAATTTGTAAAATTAGTTTTTGTCAAGGTTTTGCACACATAACTAACTTTTAGAATAAGACATGATTTCCAATATATTCTCACTCGTTTCCAGGCGATCCTCTCTGCGGGAACTCTGAACTCTCCGCAATTGTTACTTCTCTCTGGTATCGGTCCAAAGGAGACCCTTGAACAATTCGACATTCCAGTGGTGCAGGAACTACCAGGAGTAGGACAAAATCTCCAAAATCACGTTGGAGTTAAACTCAAATTTACGCTTATGAAGGAACCAGACGCACCAATTCTAGATTGGGCTTCAGCTATGGAATATATGCTTAAAAGAGAAGGCCCATTGGCCGGGACGGGATTATCTCAGGTAACCACTTGTGTATATTATTTTCATATTTTTTTAATTATTTTAATATATCCTGTAAAACTTGTCTAAAAGCGATGCTCATAAATGTAGCTGATGAATTTTAATGTCTAATGATAATTGGCGAGTGTTATGATTACATCTGCTACATATTTAGATATTTTCGACGTTTGCTAATTCAAAAAACCTATACCAACCTATCGCAGGTAGGTTTACCAATTCCGGATTAGGGAGCGTTGAAGAATACTTCTTGCTTCAAATACCTTTTCAGAAATAATAGGCGGGATGAGAATGTACGACAGTAGGACTTATATGGCTATTAAAGTATAACATTGCCGTTTTATATTGTACAGTTCATACCCCATTATCTATGCATTTCTGCGAGGGAAGATCGTTTGCCTTTACGATGGGTCTCTGTGGATCTGGACTCTACAAATTCTGTGAAGGCGTTTTGTACTGTTACTTCGGAACAAATATTTTCCTCTCATAAAATTGTCTACATTTGAAAATCGATAATAGATAAAAATAATTCACTTTTCATCTCTCGTCACAATTCTGTTCAAAATCCCTTCATTTTTGTACCTACTCACCAAAGCAGTGCAAGTTTCCATGCGTACTCCTCTGTGCACATCGGTTACGTCATGAAGCATTTCTCGAGTTTTTATTTATTTTACCAATTTGGTGCAAATTAGTCAATATTGTGGGTATACTAACGTGAATTTACTTTCTCCAATACATTTTATTCATCGTTATTTACTTTGGTCTCTGGTGTCTCCCGTGGTTCATTTTTTAAGTCGAAGTTTTCACTAAGAAAGCAATTAAATCGAAACGTATAGTGCGTTCGTAAGTCGTATCCTCTACGAACACAGCTTTGATATTAACTAGGATGTATGAACTAGCTGTCTCTTTTGCGTTATAGAACCATGTAATTCGGTTAGAATCTACTAGTTAGTCTGTGACCATGTACTCGTATTCGATAATTATTCCAATTTTCTTCATGTTTAATTCAAATACTGAATGTACAAACAATTGAAAGTCAAAAAATAAAATGTCATAAAATTTTTGAAAGAATGTTACAGTTTTTGTGTAAAAAGTTTAAATCGGGAATCTTGCATTATGCAAGATTAATTTTAGTTAAAAGTGGGCAACCCATTAAAACGACAACCTTATACTTTGAGGAGTTTTGGCGGGAAATTGACCGGCGGCGGTCTGCTGCTCCTGTATTATTGTTTAAATAATGGTTTGAAGTGGACTTTGATATGTAAAAGTGTTGCGATTTTGTGTATTAAGTGTCTACGCATGTGAACTATTAGTGGAAACAGTGAAACAAGTGCTCTGATGGTGATGGATTCTCAAGATAAGCTGTTTGTTTGCATAGGCACCTTTAGATACCATCGCCAACTATCAGCTGTCTGCTGGATCAAGTTGCCGCCAAAATCTCCCAAGAACTGCACAATGTGACGCATCAACATATTGTGAAGCAGTATACTATGAAGGAGTGGGGAAATTACAATAAACCGAATAAAAATACTTAAGACTTGGCCTAAAGGTCTAGATACCAGGCCATAAACTCCAAAAAAAAAACCTTATACTTTACTTTTTAAGAAAGGATACGGAGTATTTGTGATTATTAAATTTGTTTTCAGTTGACCGGCATGATGAACTCCAAATTCGCCCCAGCAGGCGGTCGGCAGCCCGATATTCAGTATTTCTTCAGTGGATATCATGCGAGCTGCGGTGACGGCAGAAACACGGACCCCGAAAACTACGACAGCCTTGAACGCAGGACTGTTATGTAAGTTATGTATAACAAGTAATTCTTTGGTAGTAGCTTTAGTAAGATAAATTAACAGGTATATACTTAGGTTACATGCACACATCCCGCGTTAAGGAGGATTTTGAACAGCGAAATAGCCGCCACATGCGTGTTGGCGATCTTCACGCCACTGTTGAAGATCAGCATGCCCCATGGATATTGGTACTAGTTGCTTCGGGTGGCAGATGAGTTTTTTTTTATTATTTTGGGTGTTACCAGGAAGATGCTACTGCCCATCTCTCGTTTCATTTCCCTCTTCGCCTCGTACCATACCCATGAGATAATATTGTAGGATTGTTTTACGTCGCCACTACATGGGAAGGACTTCACATGACGTCAAGATATTTTTAATTTCTCAGACATAATGTTAGGTTTCCACAAAAAATTCTCCTTCACCACCAACCACTTATCACAATGCACTTAAAACCCCTGGCCAACGCTGAAGAAATAAAATTTACAGTTTACTGTGTCCAGTAGAGAATGTCCATACGGACCGTACTAAGATTCTTAAGATAAGTCCTTTAAGGCGGCAGCAGTCCTGGCACGCTTTCATCTCTGGATATACTGGCGGACATGCAGGCTTGTACGATCAGGCCAAAAGAGTTGTTTGGGGTGCAACGTAGCGCGCTAGTCCCTGCGAAGAGCATAATGCGCGCAAGCGCAATTCTGCCGTAGCTTTCGAAGCCTAGATGCATCGACTGCCATGAAGACTCATCTACAGACTTACACAGACACATCTGCTCCTATTGCGGTGGGCAGGACCAGGACACCATACTCAAAATACTCGTAAATATGCAGTGTGACGCTCGGAGACGACGTCGCCAAGGCGTTTGTCAAGGCCCTCACCTAGATGTGGCTCTTCCACAAGCGGGACTCGACGGTGTAGGCGCTTGGAGCGGGGGCCTCGTACGCCTAGGATGTCTCGTGATCATTTCCGACTCATTCTGATAGCATTGCGAGAGTGCCGCGGGAAGTTAGTGCTACCACAGAGACGTGGGACAAAAACTATGGAGCGGCCCGGTTGCGTTTCGAACAAAGATCCCGGGACCTCTCGTATACGCTAATGGTGACCGCCGCGGGGTTTAGGCAGGTGGGAGTTCGGCTTATTTGTTACCACGGCTCTTTATCTTAAGTTTTCGATTGTTAAATTTGAACGTCCGTGTAACAGTTGCTACACGAGTGGTTCGGTTCGACCGGGCAAGGACCATGGTTGTACATAATACCAGCGTGAAATAACAGCATAATGGTGAGCGTCGAGAATCGGAGGTACAGTTGTACTTATAATGAGGCATTCTTAGTCATCTAGGGTGATGACATATTTCTGTATTGTCTACGGTCCACAAGATCCAATAATCTTCCGTACCGTGAGTATAGAAAAGCATTTCATAGGTAAATCAGAAAAATTTTGTTGTTTTGCACAAACGTTTGCTCCGGTTGGGATTCTCTACATTTATCCTCAATAAAGAAACATAATGCAGATGCGTTGTCACCCGTGAGGACTAAGATGGAATGCCTTCTTTCCAGTAAAATGGGTCTCCGGTTCTCTACACTCACCATACGAAACACAGCAGTGTTAGGCTGCTATTTTACGCTGGTATTTTGTGAGAGCGTGGTCCTTCCCTATTTGAGCCGACCCATTAGTGCTACAACTATACTATTAATATATTAGTCTATGGGCCACCAGTTCCAATAACCGTCCGCACCATGAGTGTAGAAACGCATTTCATAGGAAATAAGGAATTAAAATCATTAATTTGTGTTTTGCACAAACGTTTACTCCAGCTGAGATTCGAACCCGTACTCGGTATGTATATAAGGTAATCTGTTCACCACGCGGATGTCTTTAACATTTAAAAATTTATGGCAGGATCACCCCCGTAGCTCTTCAACCACGCAGCAGGGGCTACCTGACGCTGCGCTCAACGAACCCAACCGACCCGCCAGTTATGCAGCCAAATTACTTTTACGATGATCATGAAATGGATGTTTTATTGGAGGGGGCTAAGATAGCGTATCGACTAGCGAATACTACAGTAAGTGAACATCGTGCTATTGAATTAAATACATTTTAGAAGATATCCGGGTGGTGTTTAGTCCATACAAGCTTTTTTCTGTTTTTTCCCTGGATAATGACACTAGGGCAATCATTTTTTTTTAAGATGTACACTACCATGTTTTTTATTTTTATTTTCTTCATAATTCAGGAACCTTCGAAATAAGTGAAGCTGTACTGTTATAATGCCGTTTAGAAATCCATCAAACTATTTACGGAATGATTTCATCCCTTTTTCTTGCACTCGTAAAATCAGTCGGAGCTGTAGTTGTATTTTCGGTCATATTGTATTACAACCATAATATAGCTGCAGCATGGCTCTACCACGTAAAAAGTCTCCCTGAACATAGGTCTTACCTATAGATTGCCTCATAGGGGGGATATTTGACATAGTTGCCATGCGTAGCCACCAGAATTTTGTTTTATCTGTTATTAGGGAGACGCTGCTGCCCAATCTCCTGGCTTGTTACCCTCTGCCGCCTCTTACAGCACCCACGGGACGATAAAAGGTAGTGGACATCCATACACTGCAAATAAAAGTTAATTTTATATTGTTTTAAAACAGTTATTGCGTGAGAAGTACGGTATGGTGCCCGCTCCGGGGTACGGCAAGGGCTGCCCAGGAAGCGGTGACAGCCCCACGGATGAATTCTTAAGGTGCCTCGCGCGGATGTACACTGCGCCGGAAAACCATCAGGTCGGCACCTGCAAGATGGGGCCCGTCAACGACCCCATGGCTGTGGTCGATCCGCAACTGAGGGTACATGGAATACAAGGTGAGTTTTCAGTACACGGGTTGAGTGGATAAAGTTATACAGAAAGAAATAAGCTATTTATAAACTAAACTAATTGTATATGAAAACATTGCAGGCCTCAGGGTGATCGATGCTGCCATAATGCCAACACTACCGACTGGTAAGTGCGCCCAAACCTTATAGTATAAATTGTATGCGATGTCATGTCTTCTAAGTTATATTTACAAAAAAATGAATGCGACCCAGGTGTTCCACACTGCAAACTTCCAAGTAGGGTGTGCCCAAAAACAGGAAAGCTGTAATCTTCTTACCATAATAAAATTACTCTTAACACGACGTCTGTCTAAGCACGCACTACGCAAAAACCTGTAACCGATTCGGATTGGAGTTTCACTGGCCGATAGCTGATGTTATAAGTAGGATCTTAGGCTATTTATTTAAGGAAAATAATTAGGGTTCTGCATAGCTCGCTGAGCGAACTTGATCTTCCTCATACGGTCAGCAGTGAAGGACTACGTCTCAGATCCATAGGTTATCACTGGCAACACGCACTGGTTGAATAATCTTGGTTTGAGGTTTTGAGGTATGCCTAACGTGAAGATTGTCGTAATCTCCCGAACGCTGCCCAGCCGAGATGAATCCGTCGATTAATCTCTCGATCGCAGTTGGACTTACCTAGTCGGACTATTTGTCCCAAGTAAACATACTCGTCAACAGCTTACTGCTCCCAACAACTAACGGCATAGGTGTGACATAGACGTTACACATGACTTTTGTTTGGTCCATGTTCATCTGAAGACCTATCCGTTGGGAGACACTATTGAGGTCATTGAGCATAGTGCTTAGGTTTTCCAGCTGTACACGCCCCTTGCTGCCCCGACAAAGATAGACTGGACTAGGGCCTGTCAGTAGTCCAATCGACGGGCAGCAGAGGACGGGGCCCAACGGCCTATGGAGACTTATCATTCTACACAATAGATATAAGGCTAGGCAATTAATAAGAACTTACCTGGTTCCGAACCGAGAACCGACCCCAAGGCGCGGTCAGGCGTTAAGTATGTGCATGTGAGTAGTGTGTAGTAGTATATGTGACCTGACGGCCCGATTTAATCGGACAGAAAATCCACCGGAGCTGATGTTCTCCCAATGCGCGCTCCCTCCAGTCGTGGATCACCCATGGAAAATTTCTGCCTTCATTTCGCTATTTCAGTTTATCAACTTTATTGTACACTATTTCAATCCATCAACTTTATTGTACATTTAACTAACTTCAAACTCAACTAAATTCAACGTTCATCGAAATCAAACACGTGACACCCGACACAAATAACGAACAGTCGTTCAAAGTTCCGGGTTCATTTAGCACCAAATTACAAACAGGGAACGAACGCGATCTCTTCTCGAGTCACAAAGTTCAGCGTTCCAAACAACAAACTAAATTCCTTCGTACGATATTACATACCACGCCCGCAATCAGAACTCAAAATTCGCCTCGTTAACACGTAAAACGATAGAAAACAGTCGACACACAACAGGCACTTAACGCGACGTTACAAATCAACTTTAACTTCCAAAAACAATTAACCGGGTCACGCCCTCGAAATGGAATGCGAGCATCAAATTCCAGACCGTATGTCCACTCGGCGTGCGCGCAAGGTTCCACGTCACACAAGCAAGTTAAATATTGCAAAATTCACTTCAACATGCAATCACTATACAATTGACGTAATTACTTGCAAACGAAATTACTTTAATCAGTCAAATTCAATAATGCCTCTTGTCACGAAACGTACACTTATCTAACTAATTCGAGGCGGTCTACACGAGACCCAAATTCAATAGTAAATTAAACGCACACAAATAATCAAATTCTAGACCATCAAAACAAAAAAACTGGCCGCGCGAAACCGATGCAGCGGTCACAAAAATTCGCTAATCGACAGCGCCGCTGCTGTCAAGCTACTGTTGCTAGCCCACGAGGCCGAACGCCGGGAAGCGGCATACCACTGCCCCCCCCCCCCCCGGCGGCGCGCACGTCACCTCACACCATCGGGCGATCCGCTTAGTCAAACGCTATTGGATGGCGTTTCAAATGCCCATGTTTGGGCTTAAACACCAGCAATTCTGCCATAAGTACTACATTGTCGGCAAATCGAGGGTGAGTGATGTATTCGCCATCGACGTTAATAGTATATCCTTTCCAGTCCAATGGATTGAAAACGTCTTCCAGTGCAGCGGTGAAGAGTTTCGGGGATATTACGTCACCCTGTCTTACCTCTCTGCAATTGGATAGTTTTGCACAACTTTGTTGACTGTCGGTACAGCACTTCGATATACCGACAGTCAACTTGGCACCGCTGTAGGGATCAAAGGTTTTCTCATAGTCCACTTGCCCAAGACAAAGTGGTAGATTTCTCTTTGGTCTTTTGTACAATTTGCCACAGGGTATGTATGTGGTCTATGGTGCTAAAACCTTTTCGGAAACCGGCTTGTTCGAGAGGCTGGAACTCGTCGAGTCTGTGTGCGAGACGATTCGTAATGACTCGAAAACGGCACGTAAACGCGACTCAGAAGGGAAATCGGTTTGTAGTTCTTCAAGAGAGCATTGTCGCCTGTCTTGAAGAACAAGACCACCGCACTTCTGCTCCACGCCTACCAGGGCAGGTGAAGTAGTGCCACCATGGAGGACGGAATTACGGAGCTTCTGAAGGACTTCAAGTACCGGTTTTCTACCGGCTTTCAGAAGCTCCGCTGTAATTCCATCCTCGCCCGTGGACTTGCCGTTTTTAAGGTGCTAGAGAGCCATTCTAATCTCGCTCAGACTGACGTCCGGGATATCTTCGGAATAGTGTCGGATAATTTATATTGCAACACAAACACAAATACATCCCCCTAAAAACTATAGCTACCGACTTTAGAGATTAATTCTTACATCCTTTGAACATCGAAATGTTCACTTTGGAAAATCCGATCTAAGTATTACATTTATTTCCTAGTGGAATCTTAATATATTCAACGTGTTATTTAATTAATATAGTATTAGAAAGAAGAAATAAGAAAATATTTATTTCGCCTCATTACAACAAAAAGTGACAAGTCTTGAATATCGTCACCATCATGTGGACTGTGGTCTCATTTTTCATACCAAAATATTGAAGCATTCTTAATACCATCATACTTAACACTGGGGGTCCATAGCCTGCCACCTATTAGATGGTTTGCCACCCTTCAAATAATTTTTCATATATACTTAACACCAGTGAAGCATGTTCGTAAGTTACAATACCCTCTTTTCTTAAAATCCTTCTCACTATTTTGTGTTCATGGCCTGCAGTGGCCACTTACCATAGACGGTTGTTTCTGTTACTTGGTTTGCCACTCCTAATAGTTGAAAAAATAAGAATGATGAAAATTAAAGTATTTGTCCGGTTTCGTATACAATAGAAAGCATTCAACGCAAGTGTTGCCTACATCAACTTAATACTCGTATACCTAAAGATGTAGGTATGCTTCTAATATTTAACTAAAATTATTTCAGGTAACACAGCGGCCCCTACTATAATGATCGCAGAGCGTGGCGCGGAATTTGTTATAACCAGACATCAACAGTTCAAAAAACGACCTGACAATGGACTAGGTATCAGATTCGGCGAGAGCTCACAAAGTAGTGGCACTAACAACGGCCAGTGGAATGATAACAGGTAAGAATACACCGCGATTTGCGTTGCTGTATAACTGAGTGTATAACAAACGATTTCTATATTTCTACTTCTATCTTAAAATAAAAAAAAATCGTAAAATGAAGAATTTTGTACAACAGACTTCAATATAAATAAAATGAGAGTTCCGTTTTATATGGGAGGAAGACGAAGTATTTGTGGAAACATAAAATGATAATAATTCCAAAACTACGCGTTTGGAATTTTAGCAATTTAAAATAAATTCCTGTATTATTATGTATATTACATATTTATATTATACTGTATTTGGCAATATAAAATTTAGGTACCATGTTTCTTTGTCACACATCATGGTATAACTTGCCTTTACTTTAAGGTACGATAGGGTTTATTTTATCATAACTCTAAAACATTTTGCTTTTGTTTAAAATTTAAGGTGGAGTTACGGAAATGGAGCAGACTGGCAAAACAATGAACAAAAATGGAACAACGGGAAGCCATGGGACAAAACCTGGAATTGGGGAGACAAACCACGTGACGACCAGCATAGCACAGATTGGCGCAAAAAGTACAACACTCCAACCTATCCAGAGTCAATATAATGCGTAGTGCTTTAGGAAAGTACAATATTTTAAGGAAACATGACTTGATCAAAAATTACAATAAGTAGGAGATTTTTTTAGCAAATCACACAGAATCGTTGACATGAATAATGTGCAAATAGTGTTATTTATGTAAAATTTCAAATATTCCTGGGTTGTGACGTCAAGCCGCAGGCAAGCATAATGGAAAGGGCGTAAGTGGCGTGAGATTCCGTTCTCACTTCGCGATTAATAGATGATATTTGCAAGTTTTAGGTGAATTGTTTAATTTATAATAAGTAATTTAAACCAAATTTACTATGAATATTGTATTAATTTGATAGGTAGCATTAGGAAATATGATACGATAAAAATGGAAGTAAAATATATTTTATTAAATATTAATTTCTATTATTTTAATCGTTATGAATTTTATGTCTTCTTTACAATTTGTAACAATATAAACACAAGAAAGTTGCAGGTGTTCTAAGAAATTAAGGGACACTCACCAACGGACAGCAATGTGCAGCAAAAATTCATATCATTATCAATCATTCATCCGTTATAGCCAACACACGCGATTAGTTAAACTGACGTACAGCCAAAACTGACCGTGAGAGTGAAATCTTAAGTTACAATTTTTAAATAACAGTACCCCACAGATTTTTCAGGACGCACGGTCTGTTGAACTGATGTACATCCAAAAACTGACCGTGGGTATAGTCTTAAGTTGAAATTTGAAGCCAGTGAGTGGTGAAATCGTTTTGGCTTACATCCGTTTTAGCTGATCAGTTCTGACCAGTTCAACTGACGTGTGTGTCGACCTTATATCTAATAATTTACGCAAATTAACGCAAATTGTTTCCATTAGCAATGAACAAACGTTTACTATTTGACAAATGATTACCTAAATGATGTAATATAATAATCGCATATATTTGTTATTCTTATTTTATTTCAACATCTTTATGTATATGATACAATGAAATAATTTTATTCTACAATTTTTATCCTCAAATTTTTCCATAGTTGCTTCTTACGACGTTTACAAGAACTAATAGAGTGGCGAATTCTCTTATACCGTCATCACTCTAATAGATTAAGATGAATATAATTTGTTTTTAACACTCTTCGTGTACATATAGAAACATGTAATCAATGCCTTCAGTTTATTTTTAATGTATGCAATGACAATTTTAATTGCATTTATGATAAAACTAAGTTCGTTAGCTATAACTTTGTGATTATTAGTTGTAAATAAAATCGCGTGTAAGGTGAACAAAATTTATTAAAAATATAAGTCTTAAATTAATGTTTTTTCTTTCCGTTGCGTTTTACTTTCCCTTTCACGACAATAGGCTCCGGTTCAGATTCAGACCTGCGAGAAAAATGCTGTTGTAAATAATATGAACATTGAGACGATATTGGGCTTTAGCAATAGTTTCAATTACCTCGTATCTATTACCTGCATGCAGTACGATCGTATACCTGTGGTGATAATCGTGGTGGGATTCCTTATGACCTTCAAAGTTTGATTTAGTTGCATTGTGTGTAAATGTCACAGAAATGATTATAAGCCGATGCCTTTTTATTTTATCTTAGTCAACTTATTGCTGGCACTTGCGCAAAGGTTATAGGCATAGTTTAATTAATTTACACTAGGTGGCGCGTGTATCGTAAAGCCAAATTTATTTGAAAGTTATATATCATTCAATGAATGTATTATCCTTCCTAATTAAACAATATAACTCTTCCAAATTTAAAACCACATTTTCACAATTATTTATTCTGCGGCAGCTTACGCACCGAATACCGCCTAGTAATGAATATAATAACTAAAATATAATTTCTCAGAGACTGATAATTTTCAGAGACTAGGCGACAGTTTCTCAGTATTATGTTTTTATACTTACTCTTCACTTGCATCCGGAGTCTCCGGTATGGTGATATTCGTCTTGGACAACCTTTTACCGTCTTCCAGCTCACTGGTATCTTCTAGAAGGGATTGTTCCTGTAGAAAGCGAAATAATTGTAATGAATTTTTGCCCATAACGGTTATCATTAATGAATCCAAACTGTCACAACAGTGCGGAAGTCATAATTTTTTTTCTTTCTTTTTATTTCCTTTATTTAAAACGTTACCCCCACACTAGGATTTTCTCCTGTATCGTGGAAGCAGTTTACAAACATAAATTGCACGAGGACAAACGTCCAGACCCGGAACAATTATTTGTAGGCCATACAAATACTTGTTCCGTGCGGGATTCGAACCCGCGGCCTCCAGCGCAACAACTCATTGCTAAGCCACTGCGCCACGGAGCCGTCACACGATAATTGCCGGGCAAGTTGCTGAGGCTATTGTCGGCAGATATTTCTTAACAAAACATGATTGTGTCACTAATCACAATCAATTCACCTATCCCTTCCATGTCCTTTGCATTCCTCTACCACAGTTTAAAGATAGTCTAACAGTTGGGAAATGAATGTATTTGTGCAGAGCAATGGCGGGGGGGCCTTGCTGGGGGCGCGACCTTGTGCCAGCACACTCCACTCCATACACACAATAGCAGACTCAGTGGAGCGCGCTGGCACATAGTCGCACATGAGGTTGACGCGAGCGGGTTTTATAGTACTTATTTAAATTTTAAGTGCCGTTTTCGAAAAATATAATATCTATAATGGTGAATTACTGTTAAAAGTAGGTACTAAGTGAAATTGAATTCAAATAACGGCCATGCTTATGTGTCCCTGATGTTTATTTTTTTTTTGATAATATTGTTCATCCGAATGCGAAAACACTACATAATTAAATTTAACAATCGAAAACTAAAAAAAATCTATAAAATGAAAGTGTCACGAAAATATTTGGCAGTGCAACACTTGTAAATGTATTTTTTCTTGTAGTAATAAAAATGATCTTGTTCAATAAATGTTTTAACTTATAAGTATGCACATAATGTTAATAAATGATAATGAGTATTATAATATCCAAAATGATTTTATTCCCCATTTCGTGACAACCCCTAGGACACACGCCGCGCCGCCCCGGTAAATACCCACGCAGGCGGCGGCATCGCCTGACGTAAAAGGCGTTTCATAACTGTTAGACCATCTTTAAACTGTGCCTCTGTACTTTACAAAAAATCGATTTTAGTTCGTCGAAATAAATAATCTTATAACTACGTCCGAATTATACTCTATTCCAATTACGAAGTCCCTTTTGACACTTCTTAGAACGTAACTCTTCACGTTTCGCATAGTTTGAAATAATAATCATTTTTGTTCATGGTCGTAAATCATCATTTCAAAATACACAATCACTCTAAATCATTATACAATTAATTCACACACACACAATCAACATATTGTTTTTAGACATCGTGCTCAAAATAATTAAAACTTTAAAAGATAATAATATTTTACTGCCGTTTTGCGTTTACGTTCTATAGTTTTATTTTTACTTTTTTACATAGTGACGTGACTAAAAGAATCGTATAAAATCGATTATAGACAGATTCTTTTCGCGAGTGAAAATCTGTCAAAACTGCGTTCACCTCGTAATCACGACCGCCATTTTGTTTGTCTCTTCAGTACGAGTGCAGAAGCCCTGTATACGATACGCGTGTTCAGTTTAGTTGATTTTGTGTTGTGTTTTTATTTCGTTCTTGTTATTGTAATCCTTTTTCTGTCAATACGATTTTAATTTGTTCGTTATAGTAATCGAAGATCAATATCGCCAAGTATCGCCTATAGCGGTACTTTACTAGTACTTGATTATTGACATCTGTCAAATGGGACTTCGTAATTGGAATAGAGTATAATAATTGAAATCTCTTGCTATTGGTGTACTTTTTTATTAGCAATATAAAGCTGGTGAATGTGGCCACTTCTGGAAGAAAGAGTTCATCGTAAAGAGTCCCTCTTTCTCCATGATGTCGGCCAGCTGCTGGCTCCTTGGGTTGCGTTGTCCTATTCCAAATTGGCCCACCTTCAGCTCACTGTTCTCTATTGTGCCGAGTTTTGCGTTGAAGTCTCCCATTAACACCGTATAGTGGGTTTTGGAGGAATTCATGGCTCTGGATATATCCTCATACATTTCCTCCACCTCTTTCATCGGGATGTGCCGAGGTTGGTGCGTAAACCTGTATGACCTTCAGCGAATACCGTTTGGTGATTCTGAGTAAAAGGTACGCAGCCCTCGTCGACACACTCCCAATCTTTACAACGTTAATAACGAGACTTGTGGACGATAAATCTGACGTCTCCTTGGGACCGATGGTCGTCTTCCCGGTGATAGAACAAGTTGCCGGATTAGAGGATTACCGTGTCCTCCCCCTCTCTTTGGACCTCGGATAGTTATATAATATTCCAGCGCAACTTGTCTATTTCTTCTTTCAGCTCCAGGATCTTCTCATCAGTCCTCAGAGTGCGTGCGTTATATGTTGCCAGGTCGAGTCGTCTTAGGTGGCAACCGAACCTCCACCGGAGATTCTTAGCATTTACTGCCCCGCCGTTACCATGGTCGCCACCGTAGCCAGAAATAGCGGGGCCGCCGGGGAAATGAGGCCATCTCCTCGTAACTTTATTCATTCATGGGGGGTATATTTCCATAGTTGCCACGCATGGCGAGTGAGTTGACAACCGCAGTTTTTTATTGTTATTTGCCGTTATCAGAAGATGCTGCTGCCCATCTTCTGCCTCAGTTTCCCTCTGTCCCTCTTACGACACCCACGGGAAGATATGGGGTAGTGGGTATCTTTACCCGCCACTACACGGGGCGTTATTAGAATATAAGGACAGTTACTTTGATAAAAACATATTAGCTCTTTTTGAAAGAGTTGTTTATTGAATTAAAAAAGAAAGAGCATGCCCAGCAGGGAGCGTATCGAATTCGTATCGCTATCGAGTGACTTTCTATGATATAACACTGACATTTATGTGCAAAAGGCGCTGTTCATACTTCCATACAATTTTAGCCGATGACGATACGAGAACGTTAGTATCAAAATCATGGCTCACGG